TCGCTGGCCACCAGTGAGAACAGCCTGTCCCCTTCCTCCCTGCATTCTCCCTTCCTGAACTTATACATATTAATCATATCCCCTCTGAGCTGTCTCTTCTCCAGAGAAAACAGGCCCAGCTCGCTCAGCCTCTCTTCATACGAGAGATGAATATTAGCTAAAAACATATGTGTATGTTGCACCCAGGTTTGTCATAGTAATATCTCCATGCTCATTTTTAACTGAAGGATTGCATTTTTATGCAGATATTTTAGAAAATAGCACTTTCTATGGAGAATCTATGAGTTAACTGGGGTATCAGCATAATCTGAGCTATGGAGCTACAACCAGTATACCCATTGTAATGAATAATTAGATTTCAGAGGCCCTTTGAAGATTATAATGTATACATTTAGGTCCAATCACAAACAAAAGATACCAAATACCCAAAAGATTTTCATTTTGAAGCTGTCAAAGATGTCAATTCCTAGAGTTAACCTTTCTGAACTGGATAATAGCTGTTCATAAGTGCAGTCTGTGATGGCCAGGCCCTGTCACAGTAATGTAAAGGAAGGCAATATGGCTCTAGAGTGGGTTTCTTTGTAAATGGGAGAAGGCTGTATTTTTAGGGAATCCTACCATTGGCACTTCAGCATCAGTCCAGGTGATGTTGGGTGTTGTTGTTGCAGGCTGAATGAGTGTTGTAGGGAAGAAGAGGTTATGGGGTCCTGAGGCAGCCAGATAGAGAGTCAAGGCCAAGTTGAAGGGCAGGGTGAAAACTGGCAGATCCCACTTACTGAAGACTGAGCCTAAAGCACTGCTGAAAATGGGGCTGAAAGAAGAACATAATGATCTCACTAGGAGCTTGTGATCACACATGATTCAGTAACTCTGCTAGGCAAAAATAAAAAAAAAAGTATTTGGGCTACTGCAGGAAATTCATTTTGTCCATTTTTTTTCTTAGAAGCTGTTTGATTTTGTCAGTCTTTCTGACAGTGGGAGATGTGTGGGGATCACTCTGCAAATTTTGTGCCCTTCCAAAGGGCATTTCAGTTAGCAGTGTGTGAATTCCTGGCATATTTTGGAGTATGTTATGGTGTTTAATTTGGTGACCGTGAAGGGACCAAGATCCTGCTGATATGAACTGGTGAAGCTCCAGTGATTCAGAGGGGTTATTCCCAGCTCGGTCTCAGTGCTTAATTATTTTTAATTATTTTTTTAGTATGCTTGAAGTGGATTGAATTTATGACACCAGGGCCAGGACTGAGTGAACTGCAGTGAAGTGTCCTAGCTTAGGCTTATGGTTTAACATCATCAAAAGTAAACACTGGTATTGCAAGTATGCTTATTAAAGTGAGCATAAAACTACATGAACTTCAGTCAGACGGATGATCTGCATGGAGATTTAGTAATCTCCAGCAGACATTGAGGGCTCAAAGGCCAATTTTCAATTTTTTGGCTGTCCAGACAGAATATGGTGTCACATATGTGAGTAAAGTATTATTAGTTGTTTGTTTTTGTGAGCATCAAACATCGTCTTAGAACCACTGAGCAGCTTTTCTAACTCTGTACCCAGAGTGGTAAATTTTCATGACATTTTTATATGGTGGCTTAGATAGATGAAACACTTGTGGTTGATGGTGGTAGGGAATGGTGAAAATAATGTTTCTCTTGGGACAGGAATGAATTGATGCATCTCAGCAATATGGCTAACATTTAAGGCATTGAAATAACTCTGGTTAACCATCAATTTTCCATATGGCCTCTGGATTTATGTCTGATTGTGTGTGTATTTCATTTGTTTTGGGCTTACATTCGGATTTAAAAGTGCAGATAATAACACAGCTTTAGAAGCACAGGTGTGCCAGTTGTGTTTCTTCTTAATTTGGATCCTGTAAAGCTTATAAAAACATGGTAGTCTCAGTGTGGAGACGCATGGGCTGGATTGAGAAGCCAAAGAGATGTGTGACTTACCAGGTCATGGACACCAGTGCCACTGGGAGTAGGAGCCACCAGTGATAGTCTCCCTTAGCAGAGAAGATAGCCATGAGCAGTCCCACCAAGACCCCGTTGTAGCCGTGCAGGCCTGCTGCTATGGCCGATCTGTGCAGAACAAAACCAACCATCCTGAACTCCTCTCTCCTGCAAGGGCCGCCCTCCCATCACAYGAATCTTCAACACAGTTGCACAGTTATGAATCTGTGTGATGATGATGACCTGCCACATCTCACACACTGACCTGCAGTCTCACACGCTTGAGTTGCATATCCTCCCCACCTCAACTGCTCCTTAAACATCTATGTAACCTAGTGTAGCACTGCAGCTGTGTGGCCCATGTCTGGATGCCAGATAGAGATGGTTGGAAGATCTATCTGTTCCTAGGAGTTTTAGCTAAGGCTAAATTTATACTTTTCACTCGTGTCACTTGTCCATCACCTATATCAGCTTTGAAGTGTCAGTTTGGTTTTCAGGGAGCAAAGGATGAACTTACCTGTCCTGGCCCAGCATAAGTGCTGTCAAAGTTGAGACAACCGTTCCCAAACAGCCTGTGAGTGTCCACCAAGGATTCTGCACCAGGAAGCCAGCCACTATGATAAGCCCACTGAGGGGGTTATTGACGAACATCACCTGGGATATCCCTCGCAGCACCCAGTCCATGAACTGGATCACGAGAGGTTTATCTGCAGGAGAGCAAATTTAATAATAATAATAATAATAATAATAATAATAATAATAATAATAATAATAATAATAATAATAATAATAATAATAATAATAAAGCACACATGAGACTGATTTGGGATGGTCCTTTTTGAAACTCAGGAATTGTTTTGGCAGTGGAACTTGGCAGCATGGCTGGAGCAATGAATCAACAAGACTGTAAAAGCTGACCAGGATTTATTATGGTCTGTATTAAGCTTTGCAGCAGGAAAGCTGAGATGAACAGTGTGGCTGCCAGAGTCCCCTATTATAAAGTACACTGGACCAGCCTCATCTGAACTGGCTAATTTATGACATCTGTGACTCGGATGGCAAATGGAGTGAGTATCCCGTTGCTGATTTATGATGGGGACCAAACACACCTACCTATGTGTAATTTAACTTCACAGTGGTACTAGGCTTGACAGAAAGTATTCAGTTGAAAGAAGAGGGAATGTTATAAGGAATGACAGAACACAGAATAAACATCCTGGGCTATGTTCCCTCAGACAAAATTCACATTACACATAGCATGTTGGGAGGTAAATGTCACCTGAGTCTTCCTCAAGGTTTAAGCAGTATGTGGCTCTCTGAACATAGCTGAGTTTCTCCTGCAAAAATGAAATCAATCAAGGCAGTCCTTTCTGTTCCATTCTAACCTGAGTCCCGCGGTTGAGAGGTTATTATTCTTTCTATATATTTCTTTGGAACTTCATAATTAGCTACAGTGAAGTACGTTTACCTTTTAGCCAGCCTCCAAATTCCTTCATGTCCCCAGTGATGTAGCCAACAGCTTTGCAGACTCTCTTTCCACCTTTGCTCAATGGGTTCTGCTTCCTCGGCTTTCTCTCCGCCTTGGTGTCCATCTTAACATCAGTGCTGTTTTCCATGGTGATATTTTGAGCCTTCAGTAGAATTCATGGAGAAAAAAAGACATTACAATATATCTGTTTATTGTCCCCAGCACTCATTATTGCTGCATACTGGAAACCAGGGCCACCTGGTGAAAAGGTGTCTTCAAGAAGGGCAGAATTTCATGAGGAGACACTGGCTCCCTGGATCTCAAGACAAGATCTCCAGGTCCACCACATTTAGGAAATTATTTCAGTGATTAAGTTTCCCATGCTGCTTCAGCCTTATTTCCAACCTGAATTTATGTAGGTGCTTCTTGAAGCCATCAATAATGATGCTTAAAGTTGGGTTCATAGGTCTCTGCATTCTTCTGAGATCAGTTCAGCCTTTCCCATGGCCATGGGCTTAGCATGAAGCTTTTTTGCAGTGTCTCACTCCATTACTTATATTTTTTGTTCTCTTTAATTATATTTTAGCTGCCTTATCTTCAGAAGTGCCAGGCACTGATTTAAGAGATTATATGCCAAAATTTGACTGCTTATTTTCCATCCTATTTTAGACATGATGCCTTCTCTCTGTCATTGTCCAGTAGACCTGCACAGTAGGTGGCCTGTGCTGGTTCTTTCTCTTCASCATAGGACAGGATAGGTGACCACATATAGACACCTGTAATGAGTAACCCTCATGGACTAATGAAAAGATTTACTAAGTTTAGCAGACACTATATCTTAACTACTAGCACTTAAAAAAGGCAGGGGAACATTTCAGGTTGAGCAGAGGTGTTTAGTGTTAATTTAGGTGCTTGAGGGTGTATGAGGTATCCACACAAGGCTGGCAGATATATTGTCCCTTTAGGAGACCCTAGCCTTGCTGCTGGAATACCCTTGGGTATTTCATCCAGCTCTGGGCAACTGTATTCAGACTCTTGAATGAGACCCTTACATGTAAACATTAAAAAAAAAATTCTCATAGCCAATTCTTCATTTACTTAAACCCTTTTCTCAGTATGGAGCCAGCAAATTAAAAATGACCAACCCTTCCCTTGGAGTACATTCAGTTCCCTAAAGAATGAGGCTACATTTTGGTAGATGGCAGGGAAAAAGGCAAAGTAAGTGCATTGTTGAATGAATACAAACCTAGAGCTGAATGAATACAAACCTGTTTTGACTGGTGAATAGCAGCTTATGTGAGAAATAAAGAATTTAGCTTGTGAGTTGATAGTTTAAATCAGATAATATGAGCACCTAACTATTGGAATTAGATTTTGATTCTCTTACATCTTCAGTATAAGTCTTCTTGGCAGCTGGGAAGAGAATTCATACTTCAGAAATATAGTGTCTAATTACTTAAGCTAAAGCAACCTCATCCCTGGGTGTTACTCATGCAGGTCAAAGACACGTGGGTAAGAGGTTTTGAGTGTGCTTGAGGGAATGGCTGGTTAACGTACATCCTGGCCAGTTTCTTATTATATAGTATTGGAGGGCGGATAGTCACCCTTGATGAAAGAGTGAAGATTTGCACAGATAATAAATAAAGACTTTATTGTTACTGGAAGAACCCAGTTGCTGCAAGCAGGTTCCACAAGAACATGGCTGAAGACAATGCTACTATGTGGAAGGATGGATTTTAACAGGAGATGGAAACAATAGGTATGGAGCTTAAATAGAGAAGGAAGAAAAGATGAGAGTGTTGGTAGGAATAGTTTCTCAATGCTGGAAGGCTTTTTTGTAGCTCAGTTAAAATTCATTACCTTGATTCATTAACCTTCGCTTTTCTCATATTTTATTCTGAAATAATGGAATAAGTGAATTCGATGCACTTTCTGTTAAATCAAGTAGCAAAAATTTTCAGCCAAGATAAATGCTGTTCATTGGTGAAAATGCATTTGCATTTTCAATTTAGAGAATCTCTCTCSTTACCTAACTTATGCCTCCTGTGTTGCTAATGCATAAACGCAAGGGATGCTGCTTTGACATTTGCAATTGCAAAGAGATGTGTCCAGTGCCAGCATCCCTCAGTGCTTCCCTGCACGCTCAGTGGGAGCTGTTTGTGCTGCAGGAATTGGGAGACGCTCTGCAGCTTGGAACATTATGTGTTTACAAAGAGAGGACAGAGCTGTTGTCTGCGGAGCAGGGAAGAGAAGAGAAGGACGATCTAGTTCATCAAAACACACACTTGTTGCTTTGCCATGGGAAGCCCTTAAGTGCAGGCTTAAATTCCCAGTAAAGCAACATGAGTTCATGGCTTTACTAAATCAGAGCCAGAATGAATTGGAGAGGACTTCTCCTGTGGTGAACATCTCAGTGGAAATCCTTTCATTGCTTTCAACACGCTTGGCACAACAGGMAGACCAGGTGCCCAGGTGACTCGTGCTACCATCTGGGCCTGAACTTCACTCGCAGTGAGGGCTGCATTGGGGCTCTGCATACCTGTTCTTCCCGGGTGATCAGGAGCGGAGCGCGGCCTGGGAGACCACGGGCACCTTCTGGCCAGCAGTGCAGCTTAAGCTCACATTCGTTTTGTCTCCGTCCGCCAAGTGATGTGTCATTCAAGAGTGGGCTGTTGGAGGGATCGCATGTGTTTCTCAGAGARCTTCGGGCTGCCATTCTTATTAGTTTATACGTGCTAAAGGGGAAGGAAATGTGTGTGAACGCATCATCTGCAGAGCAGCCTGGTATGTGACAGGCCAAGAGCGTGCTTGGCTTCGGGTGGGGTCTTCATGTTGTTGTAAAGAGCCTAATCTAGCACGTTGGCTTTACTGCTGCCCCAAAAAACACCCCAGGCTCTGAGTGACGACTCTGCACATGGTGGTTTGGCTGCCACCACAGCAGCCATGGCTGGAGGGCAGCAGCAGCTCGTTTTGATCAAGATTCATGAATAGTTTGCATTTTCTCCTCATGGGATTGATGCCCAAGATGATCACAAGTACCCGCATTCCAAAGTATCAAAGTGCATGTCCTTTCCATAACCTTTCCCCAGAAACTCCTATTTTTCTAGAAACCAAGACCATAGAGGGGCTATGCTAGTTCCATTTAGTAGCCAAGAGAAAGAAGAAAGGACCAGCGAATCATTTGGAAGCCATCATCTGGAAAGGTGAAAAATGATTTTTTTTTTTTTTTGGCATTTTTATTGAGTTCCTACTTTATAAGAAGCAGTAACTGCCACAGATGCTCACACCAAAGGTCCATTAATACACWATCTTGTTTCATGGAATGGCCACTAGCAGTTGTTTAAAAAAGAATGTAAGAAACAGGGAGTTAATCCTTCAGATAGTGTCTCATCCCAGCTGTTGACTCCAGAGCAATGGAGATGCTCAGAGAAGCTTAAGGCAGCAGTGTCTGAATTTAAAGAAGGCTGAAAGAGGTCATGCCGGTGRACATTGCATGAAGACAGTCTACAGCAGATCTTGTAAAGACCTGTCGTTGAAACTAAATTAACATTGGTTTGCAGTGTCCAAAAGTTTTCTTTTTCTTCTTGATGCAAGGAAGAGGAAAATGGAATCATAAAAGGACCGTTCTGCTGCAACAGAGTGTTTGATTTTGGGATGGCAGTTAAGAAATAGTTCCTTATTTCCATCAGTTTGTGAACGTGTTTTTTAATCTGGTGTCTTAACTAAAAGCTGTAAGGTCTGTGCTCATATATGCTGCTTTTTTGGGGTACCGCTGCTGGTYCCAACTGATTCCAGAGGCCTGCAGCCCCTCTTACCTAGAAAACTTTATGTCTTTGGGTAAATATCTCACTGTCTTCCTCAGTTAGGATGCTCACATAAGCAAGGATGAGCGTTTTTCAACTAAGAGTATCTAAATACTTCCGTATTGGCTGCAAAATGGACCCCCTGAACACAGAACAGGAAAAATAAATGCTTCTCATTATGAATAAGAAGTCATAGCAGGGCCAAGAAGCCAATCTATTGATTTTTTTTCTCTCCTCTTTTCACGGTTAATAAATGTCTCCTAGTAGAGCASTGATGTTATGCAACTTTGTGCCTCTCAAAATCAATTCCTCTTCCTCTAGTGCACATTTCTYCCCTGTCAGACCTTGCATCCCAGGAATGCCTCATTAGAGCTGCAGCCTGGCCACCTCCAGGCTGGTGCTGCCGTCCTGCAGCATCTGCCCTGCAAACAGACTTTAATCTACTTGTTGAACCCGGGACAAGCCCCACACACATTCACTTGTGCCTGGTATAGGCTTTTATTTGGCTTATTATTTTAAATCTCATGAGTAATTCTTATTTCCARCTCAGTGCCTGGGTAACCAGGTGTCCGTCTTTTGTCCTCAAAAATACAGCAAAGTTGCCTAGTGCTCCCCTAGCTGGAATTTTCCTCCCATTCTGACAAAATTCAAGTAATTCTTGGTCAGTTGAGAGGATTTAATTTGGCACGTGGTCCTTGCTTGCCCTGGCGGCTGCTTCCCCACAGATGCAGTCCCTGTTTCATTCCCGGGATTGTTCCCGTGCAGCCAGCCCGCACTGTGCGCAGCAGTGGGTTTTCAGAGGAATTCCTGCATCCAAGGACAATAGGAGGAAAGGGCTGGATTCTCTCCAGCTCAGCACAGCCCGTGCAAGTGCTGGAGCTTGAGCAAAGCTGGGTATAGGTGTAAAATGTTGTGGCCAGCGTAGGAACTTGTGCACGCTYCCCAAAGCAGAGCAGTTATCATGCACTTGACCCTTGCTACAGAGGTCAGGGTTTCCCACTGAAGATAAATTTTAAAGCATTAGTTCAGAAAGGAAGCCCAGGTCAGATGCAGACACTCATTACACCCATTCCCTTTTTGATTTTCAGAGATTCGTCTCCGTGACAGAAATCCAGCGATTCGATCACATTAACTGCCCATTAACTCTGGGCATTCTTCATTGTGCAAAATAGAGAGGCAGTGAAAGGAGGTGGTGGAGATTTCCAGTGTTTTTGCTTCTCAAAGTTTCAGCCAACTGAGCTAAGAAATACTAGTAAGTCCTCACCCTGCTACCAAATTCATGATAACTACGATCATGTGTTACTCCTGAACCTTTCCTGGCTGCTTCCATTTAGGCAGACGGTCG